GAGCTTCACCTCCTGTGACATGACAGAGCTCTCCTCCAATCACTGCTCTCCATCCTGACACAGGTGGCTGAGCCGGGAGCTGAGCTTGGCCTCCTGCAACGCTGACAGCACTTCCCTCCCCCACCGCTCTGCATCTGATACCTTCTCTCCCCTCTGCTCTAACAAAGACCTTGTGCTTTCAAGCTCCCTCATCAACTCCTCCCATGCTCGCCTCCAGGACTTCTCTAGAGTCTCTCCCATTCTCTGGAACTCTTTACCCCAACCTGTCCATCTATCTCTCACTCTGACTGCCTTTAGGCGATCCCTTAAGACTCATCTCTTCAGGTAAGCCTATCCCAACTTAAACTGACCACTTGACGATCATTCTCTGGACAGTGCGGTCCGTTCGTATACTTCTTCACATTACTTTGCAATAAACATCTGGGTATAGTCAAACATTTGTCTGAATGGGAACAAAAGGTAACTTGTACAGAGCCCAAAATTGCCCCTTTTCACATTAGCATCCATAAACGATGCCTCTGCCAAGTACGTCATCTTAAAATGGGGGAGCCAGAACCAGGATTATGCCAGCGAGAGCAAGCATTGCTCAGGAACTGAGGAGAATTATCCCCAGGGAGTCTAAACTGTGAATAATGAGAAGCCTGTCAAAGAAGACCTCACAGAAGCTGTATGATTATTCTGATACAGGATTTATATAACACCAACACTGGCGCAGCACTTTAAAATATAAGGAAGACATTACAATCACAATACAATTCAGGACAAGATGGTAAGGGGAGTCCTGCCCATGAGAGCTTACAATCTAAAGGGAGGGGCAAGTGATACATGAGGAGGTAGCTGTGTGGGGGTGAATTGTTTGAGAATGTGATGGTTCAGTGGTTAGGTTGAGGTGGGAAAGGCTTTCCTGAAGAGATGAGTATTTAGGGATCAACTTAAGGCAGTCAGAGTAGGCAATAGATGGGCAGGTTGGGGGTAAGGAGTTCCAGAGAATGGGGGAGACTCTAAAGAAGTCCTGGAGGCAAGCATGGGGGGAGTTAACAAGTAACCTAGAGAGCAGGATGTCTTTGAAAGAGCGCAGGGGACGGTTAGGCCTCATTCACACAGCGTAGAGTGGGGCTGTGCAGATCGCACAGCCATATCGTGCCATTCCCAGGAAGGACAGGTGCTGTGTGTGATTGTACACATCAGCTTGTTCTTCCCTATGGGAGGACGCTGCAGTACACTGTCATACGGTCATTTAAGCTGCACATCTGTGCGAGTGTCCGTACTCAGACGCAGACAGGATGGATCCCCATGATCCCCATTTGGTGAGCCCCAGACAGGGATGGCTGATATTTCACTCTCAGGGATGGGAACAGTAAATTGGGTCCCAGTCACTTTAAGTACTTTTTCAATGCTTTGTTGTAGAACAGTCAAAACTAGGAGAGAGGATATGGGGTTACAGACAGGGGCGTATCTGCTGCGAGGCAAACAAGGCGTTTGCCTCGGGCGGCAGATTCCGATAGGGCGGCGAATGTACCGACCCGCGAGCCAGTACTTTGTG